TTCAGAATCAAAAAAAAATGATAACTCGCAAAACAAGACTTTTTCACCTTTATTGTTAGCTAAACAGATTACGACAAACTATTATCCTCTATTAACAAACAAAATGATACAGTGATTCAGTGCAGCAACATTCAATAAAGATACCCAGGATAATTTTGTAAAGAGAACAGGCAGTTGCTGTAGTACCCACAGAATCCTTAGAAAAGAAATTATTGGTAGTGTTACAACATTGAACATTGATATAAATACACCATATAAGTGATTTACTGGTTTAGATTTAATGAATGACAACTCGAACGGCAATAGGACACATTAGCGTAGCACAGTATTTAAGGGGAAACATTTTGACTCACATTTCTGAAAAAAAAAATTCACGAATTTTTCACACCTCAGGCAATCATGCAGAGAATCTTCTCACAATGACCCGTTAGTGCTAGTGAGGAAGTAAGGGTTTGAGGGATATTGGTGTGAGTAGGATGAGGGATATGAGTAGGGCGAATAGGTTGTTGTATCCAATGGATAGTAAGAAGTAGGGTATATGGGATAGGTGTTGTAGACTGTTGGGCTATTCAGTGATACAGAGAAAGGAACGTTCGCAGTTGGCGTCAAGCTTTGTACCTGTAATTAGCTAATAAACCATAAGCAGTGTATTATTCTATCTTTACATATCAGTTTTTAGGATATTGGCCATTACAGACTGGCCTAATTTTTTAAAAATCTGTCTCTTATCTTATTATGAATGGATAAACTTGTCTAAAAGTTCTTGCTTCATGGGTGTGCCGCTGTCAAAAATATCGTAAGCAACAGAATTTTTTTAGTTCGCGAGAAAGTTCATTTTTTGCTGAAATAAGCAAATTAAGTGCTGACCGTGGAAGATGCATCACTTGTCCACGAAGAGTCCCCGATGCCACTGCTAGCACTAGCAGGCGTTTGTGGGCTTTCCCTCTTTTCCTCAGGAGTAGTGGGTTTGTGAGGGGAACTAAAAAAAAGTTGACTTCTTTATAAAGCATCCCTTAAAAAAAAAACAAACCCACCCAGACTCGGGTTCGCTGTTTTGTGGAACAAATGTTGCTTCTTCTTTTGTCACCGATGGTGACGCCGTGGCTGCAACACCTGAAATTCAAAAAGTTAAGCGGTGAACACATCTCGGGATATTATTTTCTATGGTTACCAGCGGCGTCCTTCTTTTCAGCTTTAGGCTTTTGCTTCTCCTGCTGTCGGTACTTTGCTCGTCTATTTTTAAACCAAACCTAGATATACTAATTGGCGAAAGCAGCATATCCCCAATTTAAAGTTTTCGATTACCTGGATTCGACTTTCCTGCAACTGTATTTGTTCCGCGACTTTTTCACGGGTAAAAACATCTGGATATTGTGTCGCTTCGAACAAAGTCTCTAGAACCTCGAGTTGCTGCCGATTAAAAGTTGTTCTTTCTCTGCGATTTTTTCTTGGGATCATAGCTGCAAAAATGATACCTATGATTATATTCTTTCAATAACTTACTAAACTACTCAGTAAAAAGGAATTTTGTCCAAAGACTTTCAATAGCCATTTCGAAACACTTTCTCATTATTCATACTATTTCCTTCTACCTAGAAGAACTAACCTGCATTATAACCCGTTGATGGAAACATTGTCATTGCTGGTACTGTACTCATACTGTAAGTGAATGGTTGTGACGATGTAGTAGATGATTGGCAGGGAATATGAGCGTACGCGAATGCAGCCGCAGCGCTATTCATGTTGTACGCCATGTCGGCAATTCTTGACCAAAGAAGTGACGAAATCTGAAGATTCTAGACCGTACTTTGGGTTTCACCGCTAAGAGTTGTAAAGCGAGACAGAAGAAAATTTGATTTGTTATCTCATTTAAGTATTTAGAAGTGAGGGTAGAAAACACCAAAAAGCCGTCGCACAAAAAATGATTGAAAAAGCACGAGTGATAACTCGGAGAGGAGCAATGATCATAAAAGAAGCCAGTAAACAAGGAAAAGGCTTCTGTACGAATTTATAGCTTTAACACATCTCAGCAGACTAATGCCTCAACAAAT